AACTTGTTGAGGGCTGGCAGAGTGGCTCAAGTGGTAGAGTGCCTGCCATCAACTATGAGGCCCTAAGTTCAAACCCCCAGTATCACCAAAAAGAAAAAAAAATTGTTCTAAGAAGGTTGGGGGTGGGGAAGGATGAGAAAGAACGACAGGTGAATCTAATTAAGATATATTGTAAGCACGTATGTAAATGTCACACTGTCTCCTCCATGTATAACTATTATATGCTAATAAAAATAAAAAATTAGTATTTTCTTAAAAAATAGAGAACTCTTCCTACACATTTTGAACACTGTAAATGATACAGCTACACTATCTCAGTATTCAGTTGTTTCACGCACTTATCTTTATTGCTGTTATCTTTGCTTCTTTATTCATTTACACAGTGTTTGTAGTTGACTTAAAACCCTTTATTGAATTTTAAACTGCCAGAAGATAAGACTCTTGCTTTTTGAACTGGACTTTAGCAATAGTTCCAAGCATAGTGGTACACTTCTGTAACCCCAGCACTCAGAGATGGAGGCAGGAGGCTAGGGAGTTTGACTCTGTCTTAAAAAATAAAATAAGTCTGATTTTAATGGGCAAAAGAGAGCGTTTCTGGCAGGAGGAAGTCAATAAGCCATGACTCATGACTTGCCTGGTATGTTCTCAGGGGCAGAGTATGGAGGGACCAAGAGAGAGAACACTGGAAATGTAAATTGTGGTTTGTCTCAACAGCCTTAGATGCCTGGTTGGGAGAGTTTGAGGTTTGTTTTTGTCAACAAGAAGCCATTTTGTAGGGAAGAGTAGCACAGATAAAAGGGGAAATACGAGAGGTTTCAAGCTGCATAGCAGATGGAAAGTGTGCCCAATGACAGACTTATAGAGGTCAAGAGCAATGGGTTAAGCTGGTGGAATGGCTCAAGTGGTAGAGCATTTGTCAAGCAAATGTGAGGCCCTGAGTTCAAACCCCAATACTACCAACAAAGAAAAAAAAGAGCAATGAATTGCCGAAATGGGTGGGAAAGGAGATTACCGGTTTAATTTTTTTATTTGACTGTTTTTTGAAACAGAGTCTCACTATATAGCCCAGGCTGTTCTAGAATCACAATCCTCCTGCCTCAGTCTCCTGAGTGCTGGAATTACAGACATGTACCACCACACCTAGCTCCACGTGATTTTTGAGTTGCTAACAGAGCAAGAGGAGATACTTAGCTGGAAACTATTAGGAAAAAGATTTGGCTTGGGAATTATGGTAAGATTGGAATACCCACCAGAAAGAAAAGCTAAGGACAGAAAAGGGCTAAGAGGGCTGGCAGAATGGCTCAAATGGGAATTTTACTTACTAAGACAAGACGAGACATCGACATTGAAAAAAGCCGCTCCAGATTTCATTGCTGGAGATCACAGGTCACCATAGAGAAGAGTTCCAAATGTGATGAGAAACAAGGCAGACAACTGAGGAGTGAAAGGCTGTGAGGAAGTGAATACAGCAAGGACAGACTCTTGTAGATGTTTTATTGTAAGGAGAGAGACACACAGAGAGAGTAGATTGGAGGGTGAAAGCTGTTTGTACTTTTAGAGACTGAACTTCTGTGCTCACTGTAAACAATTCCACAGCCCATGTCAACCTGCCACCTTTCTAGGTTGCCCATTTCCTGCCTCCCTCCCATCCCACTCCTCCTTTGAGGTGTTTATTTGTTTATTTATGCTTTATTTGGCAGTACTGGAGTTTGAACTTAGGGCCTTGCACTTGCTAGGCTGGTGCTCTACCATTTGAGCCATTTGAGTCATACCCCAGCCACACTTTTTCTTTTCCTTCCTTCCTTTTTTTTTTTGGTCAGGATCTGGAACTGGCAATTTTTTTGTGTTTTTCTCTGGAGTGCTGGGAATATAGGTGTGTACCAGCACACCTGGAGAATGTTTTTTTTAAATTTACTTCTTCCCTGCTGAGAAATGCCTATAGGGAATACCCAGTGAGGTGACAAAGTTTCACTAACTTCCTAGGGACATCAGTATCTCCTCTACAAGTGAGGCTTTGTTTGCCTGAGCATTCTTGTTGACCTCTCACCTGCCCAGTCTCTAGACCTCAATTTCGCCAACAGAATCTCAGCTAGAAAGAACTTTCAGGTATTTCCCAGCCCTTGACTCATACCTGTACATCTCCAGTAATGTGGGTTTCTTCTTTTCCTGAAGCAATCCATTTTAAGAACTTATGAGAGGAGGATTGGAGGCATGGCTCAAGCAGCAGAGCACCTGCCTAGCAAGTGCAATTCCCTGAGTACATCCGAAAAAGCCTAGTATGTCCAAAAAAGGAGAAGGAGGAGGAGGAGAATTTATAAGAGTAGGGCTGGGGCCGCAGCTCAAGTTTGCTAGGCAGGCATGATTTTGAGTTCAAACCCCAGTACCACCAAAAATTTGTAACAAGAATGAGGCAAAAAACAAAACAAAACAAAACACACACACAAAAAAAAATAAAAACTTTTCCCTATAAACAAAAACAAAATCTCAAAAAAAAATTTTTGAACTGGTGTGGGAAGAATTTAGTTAACAAAACATATTCTTCAATTAATAACTTATCTTTAGTTCACAAATCCCTTTTTTCTATATACTTGCTTTTTATTGAATTTGTTAATTTTACAGAGTTCTTGCACTGCCAAACCATGCCTGAGAAAGAAATAGTACAATGGACAGCCTCACCCACAAATCCCTTTCTTGTCTTGTTTTCCATTTTATCGCTCCTCTCACGGGCAACTATTTAAGTATTTGTGGTTGTTTTTTTATTTGTAGACCATTTATCTAAATATATATTGCTATATTGTGTGTTTGTGTATTTAATTTACAGAATGATATTATGTTGTAAGCCCCATTCTATTTCTTGCTTTCCCCCTCTGTACCACATTTTTAAGACCGATTCACGTTTTGTGTGTCACACAGCCCATTGTTTCCGACAGTTACAGAATGACACATTTATCTATGTCTCCAATTTTCCCCAGAAATGGACTTTACACTACTCCAGCTGTCTGCCAGCACATCCTCTTAGAATTAAGCGAGGAATTGGGGGACCATTTACCTAGAAACAGGACCTATGGATCCCAGAGGAAACACCCTTGGTGGTTTGGACCCTAACCAGAATGACTCTCCCAGTGTACAGCCCTTGGATCTTCATGCATCCCTCACTGGGTGTTATCCAGTTATCGAGTTTTTACTACTATGATGAGTGTCAAACAATATTTCACTGTTGTGTTCATGTCTACTCTAATCATTAACCAATTTGGGCATTTATTCACATGTGCAATAGTCTTTTGTACTCTTTCTTCTGTGAATTAACTATTCATACTTTTTGCAAATTCTTCTGTAGAGTTCCTCTCTTCTTGCAGAATTTCTTTTCTCTTTTGTAGATGTCTCTTGTTGGTTTTAGACATTACCAATATCATTTCCTAGTCTGTCACTTCTCTATTAAGTTTGTCCATGCTGATGTAATTGTGAATATTTAATTTTAATGTAGTTAAATTAAACAATTCCCTCAGATTCTGTACTTTAGGGGAGTGACATTATTTCCTTACACTCCCTGTTCACAAATGTGTTCTTGAACACTATTTTCTATTAACTTTATTACTTAGTTATTTAATTTGTTTTTGTGATGTATCCAACCCAGGGACTCCAGCATGCTAGGTAAGTACTCTGCCACTGAGCTATAGCCTCAGTCAAACTTTATAATTTCATCTTAAATCCATCTTCACATATGATTCTAGAAAGGGACCTGGTTTTATTACTCTATTAGTGTAAGCCAGTTTTTTCTTGACCATCTTCCACAGATTTGGTTCCTTTTCCCACTGACTCATGTGCTATCCTTTCTTTTAAAATTCCTTAACAAGCATGATCCATCCCTCAGCTCTCTTTTTCTTTTCATTTTTCTTCTTGTACATATGCTATTTATACTACAACTCTGAATGCTCTTCTATGTGGTAGGACAAATACATTCTGTAACTAGTTTAGCGAGTAATTACAAGAATGTTTCCAGAGTCCTTGGTTGACAGTCTTCCCTTTCTCCACTTTGACTCTTCATAAGTTTCTCTTGATATCAATATCAGCTTTGTTTATGTTTGCTTTCCTCATAGATTATCAAAAACCTGAAAACAAAAACAAAATAGAAACTCAAATCATTCATTCTATCCATAGCTTCAGGGATTCAGTAACCTACCTAAATTCTGATTTCACATTAAGAGACGGAGACATGCCTGCCTCGACTATGGATTTCCATCTAATAATGGGCTTTTGCTGTCCATCCTGAGACAGGATTTGGTAGGGCCAGGGAGTGGTATAGAAGCTTTCCATCTCCTTTTTAAGGCTGTTCTTTTCACAGTGCTCCATTTGTTAGGGTGAAGTAGGAGGAAGTGCCAGAAGCTCAGCATATGAGGCGAGGTTGGCCAATGGGTACTAAGTTAAAGTTAGATAAGAGAAAGTTCTGATGAGCTATTGACAGTAAGATGACTATAAAAAATACATATATTTCAAAAAAAGCCAGAAGAAAGGATTTTGAATGTTTTCACCACGAAGAAATAACTCTTTGAGGAGCTAGGTATATTTATCCTGGTTTGGACATTATCCAATGCATATACATATATGTTGTACGATGTTGTATCCAAACATCACATTTACCCCATGAACAATTTTTATGCATCAATTAAAAATAAACGCGTATAAAGAAGATTGGTATATGATGCTTACATGTGGGGAGGAAAACACCCTGAAATCAAGTAAAAATGGCTCTGTAGTTATGTTACTTTTGTGTTGTTCTAAGACTTAAAAACTACTCATTACTTTTTTCCCTTCATTATTCTTTAAATGACCTTCAAGTTCTGTACCCCAAGCACGATACTCAAAGGTACCTATTTTTAGGCAGAATTTTACATTAGCCTAATCCTGGGTTCAGGATCCCTCTATATTCCATTGAGTACCCCACACACAGTGGGTGTTGCCCTTGCCCCCAGTTTGAAAAACAGTTGTGCCTGTCTCTTTAGGAACGACTCGTCCGCCGGAGTAGGAAGCTCAGAAAGGACATAGGAGAGTTTCAGAGGCTCAAGGCTCAGGAGGAGGAGAAGCTGTGTGCTTTGCAGGTACGTTGCTCAGAATCCTGGGAAGCCTATGTCAGAGTGTCCTCAAGCCCCTCTCTTCCTTCCCCCAACATCTGTCTGTCCCCAGAGTAGGGTGATGTGGAGTGATAGTTGTGGAGGCTGGAAACCTGCGTGTCAGTGTTGGTTTCTGGGTCAGTTTGCAGAATGATCTGGAGCATGTTAAGCCCTCTGACCTTCATGTGACTTACATGTTAACTAAAAACAAATCTTGCTCTCTCTGCTGCCTGATGAGAATCAAAGGAGACAAGTGTCCCATCAATTGAAAGTTACTACACAAACGATAGTTTGAATACCCATTCTGTCCCTGACAGTCCACATCTTTGTTCCTCTTACTCACTTGGGTTAGTTCTTTCCTCACCTCTGACCTGAAAGATGTGCACAAGAGTGTGAGGTGAGAAGGGGAGGTGCTCCACCTTTATGAGGAACACAGCTGCCTCTGCTGTGCCTGTAGCAGGTGAGCAATGCCGCAAGGGGACTGTCAGGATTCCCACTCAGCTCTTCAGATCCTGGAGGGCCAGGAGGGACTCCATCTAACTTTAAGCCCCTTTTCTTTGGTTTTAGGTAGACTTGCAGAGCCCTAGGCTGGAGGCTGAGCTGGAGAACCACTGCCAAACCAAGGGACAGTTGGATGCTCTCTCTCAGCAGCAGCTGAACAGGGTGGAGGACACACCAGCAGAGGTGGCCAGAATCCTTGACCTCTCTAAGGCAATAATACAACTCAGCAACCTAGTTGCTGATCTGGAAAAGATGGCCAGGGAGCTGGATGCCAACACGCTCAAGGTGCATACGCTGAGACATCTCCCAAATCCTGGGTCTCTTCCTGAACAATAGGAGCCCACCTGCAGTGCCCCTCTGCGAGGTGCATGTGGGGGCACTCCCTTGACACATGGTCACAAGTGATGGTGATGGCTTGTCCAGGGCCACCCAATACTGCTGCAGCAGAGTGAGGTGCAGAAGTAGGGTGTTATCCCCTTCAGCTTCCGAGGTGGCACCCCAGAGTGGCCTACAAGAGTGAGCTGGGAAGGGAATTAGGTGACAGGAGCCTGAGAACGGATTGTAATTCTCATTGTCTTTTTTTCTCTCCTAGAATGTCAGTGACTTGTTGAACAGGTATGAGTCGTCCCTTCCTCCTTCCCACCTATGCAGACACATACAAACATGTACAAGGTAGATGTGCACATGGGCTTTGTCTAGGTCAAGGAGAACCTCTTCCCCATTCATTTTTGTGCCCTAATGCTACACAGACAGTGCAAATTGAACAGAATATGTGATTGCGTATGAATTTAGGAAGAATTTCTTTGTTTCTAGGAGCGCTCCACAGAAATTAAATGGACTGCTCTCTTTCCTTCTTCCAACTGGACCAACTCCCAATTAGTTCTACCTGGTACATCTTCAAGTCTTCTGTCTCCTGAATTCCTGCCTACTTCCTCATCCTCACAGCCATCACCTGATACCTTATCCTCCAACACTTGGACACAGTCCCCTTCTTGAACCACACTCATGCTTGTGGCTCCCACTGTGGTGGTCAGATCCATGATCTCCAGGATCATTTGCACAACCTCCATTTTGCCTGTGAAGCTGTGGTAGCACCCACTGCTCACATCTCATATTGAAACAGGAGCACTGGACGGCAAAGATCACCAGCAGTGAGGCCACCTCAGCACATGGAGCTCAGCAGGTCTGTTGAAGGAATATTCTTGCTACACTCCAGTAGCAGATACTGTCTGTACTGCCTAACTGGCACTTATTCATCATTGTTACAGCAGACAGACTCAAGGGTGGCCCTCATGGCCTTACCTCTGGGTGACCATGCTTGTGTGATCCTCTCCCCTTGAGTGTGAAGTGGAATCTGTGACTTGCTTCAGTAGAATAAGACAGAGGTGACGGAGTGTCACTCCAGTGGCTATGTTAACTTTCACGAAACTTCTTGCTATTAGATTCATACTAAAGACTCTCCTTGATGTCTTTTGAAATTAGCAGCCCTGTGGGGAGGATCTGCAGGCAGCCTCTATTTGTTAAGAACAGCCTCCATTCTCTAGCCAAAAGGTATCAGGGGTCCTCAGTCTCACAGTTGTAAGAAAATGAATTCTGCCAACAACCTGTGTAAGATTGCAAGTAGATCCTTCCCTAGTGGAGCCTACAGATGAGACCCTGGTCCATCTGTAGCCTTGTAAAACTCTAAGCGGAGGACCCAGTAAGCTATGCCCCCAGTTTTTGACCCATAGAGACTGTGAGATAATAAATATAGGTTGCTTTGAAGCAATAAATTTTGGTAAGTTTTATGAAAACATGGATAACTAATACAATTATTTATCAATTATTTCTGCATATGTGCCAGTTCTTTAGGTGAGCAAAAGCAGTGCTCTATCTGTATTCCCAATGTCTAGAACAGTGCCCAGCTCATAGTTTAGTGCTCAGTATAACTTTAAATGGATGCACAAGTGAATGAATAGAAAGAATAGGGCCCTTCTTCATCCTCCACGCTTAAAGGGAATCATCAGTTGCCTTCTAACCAGTATTTCTTGAACCCTTGCTGAGGCAGTCGATACTGTACTAGGGTCTGAGGGACAAAAGAAAAACATGGTCATAAGGAGGTGCCGTAATGTGGTGCAAGATGAAAACTGAGGTGTCATACTTGAGTTTAAGTCCAAGTGGTGACACCTAAGACCTCTGTAACCCTGGACATGTTAGCCTCTCTGGACATCAGTACTGGCCCCCATAAAATGAGGACAATGGTACTTGTTGCCTGGGATTGTTGTAAGAGTCAAATGTTATTATACATACCCAGTGTCTGCTACAGTGTCTAAACATTGTAAACATTCAAATACATGAATTCCACTTTCCTATCCAGAAAGTGACTGGATTAAATTAAGTGTCATAGATGCTAAATGCTTTGAGAATTTGATGAGAGACACAAGTGATGCTAGGAAAGTCAGGAAATTTTTGTGGGGAAGTAGGGATTGGATAAGTGGGGGAGAAAGGTAAGACCATCCCAGGTCAAGATAGCCACACAAATGAAGGCATGGAGACAGGAAAAAGCCACAGCACAACTGTAGGCAAGGATGGAGGGATAACTGACTGGTTAATCTAGAATGTTCAAGAATGAGGAAGATTAGAAGTCCAACAGGCAAGATGGATGACATCAAGACATAGAGAACCATCAATGGCTTTTGAATCAAGGTGAAGGGAGGAAATGATGTTAAAAGAAAACTACTGTGGATCTTTTGAGTAAGACTGATTGGGACAAAAGGAATTGGAGGATAAGAGAGAGGTGGAAAAAGAAGAATGCTAGCATAGATGTTCAGGAAAAGAAGAGTATAGTTACTTAACAGGAAACTATAGATCTCAGAGCAATCTGAGACTCAGTGTCTCAGAACATTAATCAAGGCAAGAACAGCTCACAATCCCACACCCTCCATGGAGTTAACATCTCACAGAGAAGTCATCAGAACTACCCCTCCAGGAGTGGTAGGAGACGCAGGGTCTCTCTGCACTGCAGGTGCAGCCACGGCCTCTGCTTTCTACCAACATGACCACAGAAGATTGGGCATCTTGCCAGAAGATAGTTGACCAATTGAGTCTATGAGGCAGCCTGTCAAGAAAGATGTGGTTGAAGAGTAACAATGATAATTAACTGAAACCATCAGGTCTCCTTAGAAATTCAAAGGGGATCCATGATGACCACATCATCAGGTGGCAGGAAGACAGCAGCAGAGAGCAGTAGAGCCACCTGCACTGCAGGAACTGAAGCACGTGTCCATGACTCATTGCTGAGCGGCCACAGAACATCCAGTCTCCACTCTTCCTTGGACCTGAACCCCCTTCCTACCAGTGCTTGGGCACGCAACGTGCCATTGTATAATAAGCGTGAGCACAGGTTTGGGAGCCAAACCACCTATGTTTGGGCTGCTATTCACTGTCAGCTGATTTGGGGCCATACTTGACCTCTATGTTTCAGTTCTGATGTATAAAATGGGGTATTAAATAATAGTACCTACCTCATAGGGTTGTTGTGAGGGTTGCATGAGTTAATGTATAAAATATTTATTATTTAATCTGACCAAAATGAGCTCGATGTGTGTTTATTGTTCTTTACTAACATTTTTAATTTCTAGTTCTTCCCATGGGAACCTGTGGTGTCCCCCAACTCCCTATCCTACCTCTGGATAGTGTACCATGAAGCCTGAAAAATGGTGGGAAAAATCTCATTTTTCTTATTTCCATGTCTGTTCCTATAGTAAACTTTCCTATGATTTAAACTACCTGGCTTGCAGGTCTCCCTTCTTTGCAAAAGGAAGAGCTGCTACATTGCAAGCTGTGAAAGAAAAAAAAAACAGGTGTAAATTGTGGGTATCACTGAAGTCTGCAAAAGGGGCATTGGGTGCAAAAAGGGCGTTGGGACTATGGGGCCTCCAGACTTTCAAACTTTCTGGGGAGGCAACAGAGTCTGGTGGGCTTAGGCCATCTTATCTTGAAGTCCTAGTGTTTCAGGATCTACCCACTTCCTCCAAAAGCAAGTTAAATTCAAGTAAAATTATCCTAGGGGAAGAACAGGTACAGATAGGTCAACATGAGTATTTTCACTCACTTGCATTTTTATTTCCCAGTGTAAGAAACAGAAATTGTTTTTCTGGATCTAAGTCACTTGTAGGGAGCATAACCAGCATTAAAATATTCATCAGGACCACCCAGACATCTGTTTCTGAATGAGGCAGTGTAGCATAGTGGTTAAGAACTCTTGAGTCAAACATGAATTAAAATCTTGGCTATATGATCTTGACTGAGCAGATAATTAAACTTAACCAGACCTCAGCTTTCTTCCCTTTAAAAGGGGGATAATAATAGGACCTGCTTCACAGAGTGACCAACACAGGTGACATAGGTGAATAAAGCCCTCCGCCCAGCTAAGGTCTTCAAACACATACATACACTTTAGAGATGCTTAGTCATTTTTAAACACTTTGCTAAAACCAGTAAAAATAGACAGAAAAAATACAGATTGCTTTTTAGCAGAATCGCAGTTTGGGGACTGTTTTTTTATCATTGTATGGGCACTTGAGTGTGTCATTGCTTTTGCAATACACAACATTTTAATTGTAATAGAAAGATTTCCAAGGAGAGCCATTCAGTCCCCCTCTAATCCATGCTTCTGATTCTTTCTGCCTGCTGAGCTAAGGATGAACAACAGGATGTCTCAGGTGCTGCTAAGCCTGGCCCCACATACTACGGTGCCCTCACCTTTTGCAGTTGCACCCTCACAAGCAGACCCATCAGGGAGATGGTAGAATATTGTAGTTTATGTCTGCACAGAGTCAACAGAGAGGATGCTAAAGAGACTATCAGCAGAAGGCATGTTTAAGCAGAATAAAATGCAACACCAACAAGAACTAGGAAATAAATCATGGTTACTCAAGGCAATCAATATTTTTATTATGCATAGAATTTTTAAGTCCCACCTTGGGATGATGGATATCATTTTCCAAATTCTAGGCAGCCATGTGTTGGTGTCCATATCTGTCCCAGACTCAGTACCAGGCAGGGCCATTTCCTGAGTTCGCCAGGCTCAGCATGACCACAGCCTTCCCTATCACTGCCTGACTTCCTGTGTTCCACAAAGTTCTCCACCTCAAAATCTGCTCTTCTCCAAATCCCCAGTATTCCCCTCTTCCACCCCATCCCTCCAATGTCACTTTTTGCCCAGCTCTAAATAGTCTTAGCTCTAGTCTGAAGGTCACAGGTCATCCAAATCATCCCCCAGCCTCTATGTGGGATTCTTTTCCCCAGCGCAAAGGGGCAGATGGCACTACTTCTGCCACAGCTGAGGTCTTTTTGATTGGTTCTGTTCCATCTTGACGTCAGCTGGTGATCTGCTGATCAGGAAGACGGTTTCCCCTTGAGGGGGGCGGTCCTTTGGGTAATATTTATGGCCAAGACTCCCCTGTCTCCTTGCCCCAAAATGCTCTGCACCTTCATTTCAGCCAGAAAGTGACACCACCAGAAGTCAGTGTGTGGAGATAGGTGGGGTGAGGCATGTCTGCTCACAAGGACCATGGAGATGACTCAGTGCCCACAGGTCACAGACATCCACCCAGTTCTCTGCCATTCCTTCTTCTTAAGGTGAGCTTCCCCTTCTTTCCTAGCTCACCACATGCATGCTTTAGAAGGTTGTCCAGGCTCCCCATCTCCCTCCAGACAAGACTATGCCCCTCTTCTGAGTTTCTACAATGACAAATGTATCCCCTGTCACAGCAGCCACCACACCATGCTGGAATTCTCAGAGCTCCTCCAGGACAAGCTCTTTTCTTTTTATTTTCAAATCACCTGTGGCTAACACACTATTGGTTCATAGTTAGCACACAATAAGTGCTTCTTGAAGGTATGAGTAAATTAACTCTAATGTCTTTGGAAAAAAAATGAGATGAAGAGCTTGAAAGCATACAATTGGTTGGTTACAAGGCTTTGTCTAGAACCCAAGTCTTCTGGCTCAAATCCAGTACTTCTACACAGCTACTTTTTGGTTGGTTGGTTGGTTGGTTGACTGGTTTGGTTTTTTGAGACGGGGTCTCAATATATAGCCTAGCCTGACATTGAAATTCCAGATTCTCCTGCCTCAGTCTCCTGAGTGCAGGGATTGCAGATATTATCCACCATGTTTGGCAGGAATGGTGATGAGCAGAGCTGGCAACAGCTGAGTCTGCAGATACCCTGACCATTCACTGGGCATTGAGAACAGGCTTGATCAGTGGGCTGAAGGCCATGTCACCTCCTCTCTTACCAAATGGCACCATTACATAGTCTAAAGAAGTCATTTCTTTTTCTTTTCTTTCTTTCTTTCTGTTTTTTTTTTTTTTTTTAACTCAGAGTCTCATGCTTGTTAGGCAAGCTCTCTGCCACTTGAGTCACTCTGCCAGTGCTTTTTCGTGTTGGATATTTTTGAAATGGGGTCTCGAAACTATTTGCCTGGGCTGGCTTTGAACACCAAGCCTCTTGATCTCTGCCTCCCATATTGCTAGGACTACAGGTGTTAGCCACAGCACCGACTTGAAGTCATTTCTACTTCAAGTCTTCCAGATGACCAAGCCAGGGGTGAAGTGCACACCATACTTGATTGGAGTCTTCAACTTACAGGAGGGTAACTGTGCCCTTTCAGCAGTTCAGGGAGAAACTGGACCCTCGGCCCCAGAGCCCAAAGAAGGGAAAGACTTCCCGGGTGAAGGAAGCAGTGAAGGTATAGATGTGTTCCTGAGTGACCGCATTGGCGAAGGTCACCCAGCCCACCTCGTAGTCGAGAGACACCTGCACCTGCCGGGGCTGCTCCTCCAGGGCCAGCCGTGTGGGGAAGGAGCCCAGAGCTGAGACGAAGCCCCAAGCCAGCCTCACGGCCCACACCCCCTCCTCTGGCCGCAGCCGCAGCTCCCCCTTCCGCCGCACGTCCTCACTCACCACGCCCACGGTGCAGCTGCCCCCGTGGGCCAAATCTACACTCACCACCCAAGCGTGTCTCCCCCCTGTGAAGCCACTGTGTGCCAGGACACAGGTGGCCCGGTCAAAACGCTGGGGGCTGTCCGGAGAATTCTGCCATTTGTAGGAGAAGCGAGCCCGCTGGAGATCCTCAGATAGAAGGAGCTTGGGGTGGGAAGTCTGGGGGTCTAGAGATATTTGAGCTGTGGCAAAGAGAGACAAAGATATCAGCTGAGGTGCTATGACCTTCAAGAACGATTTGAAAACCCTCTTCCTCCACCTGCTAGTGTTAAAGCACCTCTGTGAACCGGCATCACTGGGAACGTGTTAGAAATACAGACTCTCAGAATTTGCATCCCAGGATGCCCAGGGAACTGGCGCACATCTTAAAGCCTGAGACTCCTGCCTGCGAGGGCACACTTGCTTCAGGAATGCAGGTGTGCCTGTCCTTTCTTCATGGGTCTTCCCCCATGGCAAAGCCATATATACATACACAAGTCATCCCTCGGTATCCATGGGAGATTGGTGCCAGGACCCTCTCAGATACTCAAATAAACAGATGCTCAGGTCCCTTATGTAAAAGGGCATCTACATACAATCTACACGCATCCTCGTAGACCTGAACTCTCTAGATTGTTATAATACCTAATATGGTATAAATGCGATGTAAATCATTGTTACACTGCATTGTTTAGGGAATAATGACAAGGAAAAAAGTCTGCCCAAGTTTAGTACAGATGCAAGTTTTTTCTGTGTATTTTGTCTGAGGTTGGATGTGGAACCCAGGAATATGGAGTGCTGACTCTGTGTATGTGTGTGCTCACATACTCACAACTATATATGACATACATATACATATGTGTATATATGACAGGTGTGCATGAGTATATATGACTAGTGTACTACCCTGTACAGAACCTTGCAAAATTGTTTCTCTTTTCTAGAGCCTCCTCACTATCTCCCATCCTGATGTAGGCCGCTTACCTGGCTCATAGTCCAACTCAAAGCAGAGTTTTTCTGTAAAAAGGAAATGATGGCAAAGTGAGATTTTATTAGTTTTAAAACCAGAAAAGACCCAGTGGTGAGGAAACTGAGGCCCAAAAGGGGGTAGCAACAAAAAAGCACTGCATCAAAGCTGGAGCCTCTAGACCAGTGGTGGTAAGCTTGTACTTGCACCCTAACCTTCTGGAGCTCTGGCTAACACCCATTTCAAATTCAGGTGCTCTGGGGTGGGGCTGCACCCCTATGGGATGCTGATGCTGCTGGCTGGGAGCCCCTCTTTGAGGCTCACTGACCTAGCTCTGAGCGGGCATAGACCTGTCTCCCTTGCTCACCTCTATATCCACAGAGCCCACACCCACCTAAATAAATGCTCAATAAACATCTGCTTAGTGAATAAATAGGTGGGTTCATTTCTTTATTGTTCTGTTTGAAAATAATTTTGGAGTTAGCCAAAGGTCAGCCTTTAATTTTGCAAGTGCTCTACTGCCTGAGCCATGCCTCCATCCCTTTTGTTTTTGTGTTTTGTTTCGGAGATACTGTGATAGGGGCTCACTAACTTTAGCTGGGCTGGCCTGGAACTTGCCATCCGCCTGTCTCTGCCTCCTGAGTAGCTGGGATTGCAAATACGAACCATCATACTGGTTAAAGGTCAGCCTTTGAATAAAGTAGAATTTCCTTCACTAACAAGTCACAAGGAATATTTGCAGGAAGTAGACTTACGAGACAAGTGATGCTTTTGAGGGTGGGACATTTAGAAATAAATGCTATCATTCATAATGTCACGGCTGGGGAAGAGCAGAAGTCACATTGCATTCCCAGCTCTCATCTCAATTTCTCTTCCCTCTTTCCCATCACCAGACCCTGTTCCTGAAAAGGGCTGGGGCACAGGCTCTGTGGCTCTGAGAGCCACGCTAGCAGAAGGAAAGTGAAGGAGAGTGAGGGATGAGTCAGCTGCTACAGGATAAAGATAAATATTGCTACTGGCTATTAATTAACAGTGTTCATTACCAAAAATCTATGGTGTATTACAGATACTATTATGGATTTTTAAATTATTGAGAATGATAGATATTGTTAAACATTATCTTTTATATTGTTATACCAACTGGTCAGATTTAATAATTCTTCAAATCAGTTAACTTTTTTTCAGAAATATTTGCCTTTATTATTCATCATCTTTAGAAGGAATGTCTTTAAAAAATTGCAAATAAGGAAGTTGAGGCTCTGAAAGGGGATAAACCTCACCAAAATTTACCACTATTGGGGAATGAAGCAAGGAGGTCATTCCTAAACCCGAGCTTCACTGCCACCTGTGCTTTGTGGAGGCCTGGGTCCTCTTACCCAGAAACTTCTTCATCTCTCTCTGCAGTGGGAGAGCCTGCTGGGGGAAATCCCGGATCCTCTGGCCCAGCTCAGGGGACACAGCTTCTGGTTTCCGGCACTTTCTGGTTTCACATCTAGCACAGAAATGATAGGGTGTGGCAATTAGTCTCCATGATGCCTCCAGACTCAGCCAGTCATCATCTGACAAGGCCTGGAAGTCCCAGTTCCCAAAGACATCCTTTCTCTTGGACTGACCCAACTGCTGCAGGAGTACATGTGTATCTACAGATGCTTGTGAAATGCATTTGGGTGTGTGGCAGTTTACATGTGAATGTGTGTCCTTAATGTGAGACTGTTGAACATCGTATGGCAATAACTAAGCAGGCGGTGCATGTATGTGTGTTTATGTGGAAAAAGAAAACAGGCGTTACATGACTTACCTTATTAGAGTGCTTCTGATATCCTAGGGGAGAGAGAGAAAGAGAGCAGGGATTCAGCTTCCAATTTTTTTCTCCTGCTTTTCTCATGACTACAAAAGATAAAATACCATATTCTTAACCCTGGACAGAAATGGGAAGCCAGATCCACAGAGTCACAGAGTGTTAGGATTTACCAGACTTTCAGGATCAGAGCCTAGATGGTAAAATGACCACTCCCTGCTAATGGATCTCCCTAAATCATGCTGCCTTTCTGATGCTTTGTTAGGATCCCAATATCTCTACTCTGGTTTGAGGAAGAGAAATAGAATGATTTGGAAAAGAATGGTTTGGAAATAGCACCTGGCATTTGTTTGCATTGTACCTGATACTTTTCAAAGTGCTACTTTCACTTTCTTTTTACTGTTGGATCCTCACCCTTTCACAGTGGTATCTGTGCTATTCAACAGATGGTAGATGGAGAGACCAAGACCAGAGCACATAGTGACCAGGACAGTCTTAGGAAAGAATGGACAATAATTCAGACCTCTGGTCCTGTGACCCAAATCTGGGATGTGGAGATGCCTTTGAGAAGGAAGTATGGCTTAGAAAATCCAAATGCAGTGATCCCAGAGAACACATGTGGGCAGGCTCAGGCCTCACCGTCAGAAGCTCCCTTGCTGGCCTCTCATTCTTCTCCTCCAGCTCTTCAACCAAGGTACTAAAGCGGTAGATCTCCCCAGAGATGAGGAACTCGAACTCTTCCTGTTGCTTCAAGATGTCCCCATCTAGCTTCTCCAGTTGTGCTAAGAGAATGCCCTGCTGTTCCTCCAGCAACCGGCTCAGATGTGCAAACTCGGAAATCACCTGTTGTCTCTTGGTGGCCACCTGAGTCTGAGAAGGCAGGATGAGAGCCAAGGAAGATGTTTTCCTCTCCTGCTTCCTCCATCAGCAACATCTCCTTCTCTTTTCCTTCTTTTCCCTTACTCAATCCCATCTCCTTCTAGGTCCAAAACCACATGTTCCAAGGTTTAGTGGTAAAATCAGAACCCCTTCCACCTCCCTGGTCCCCAGACAGATTTGGAACTTTGGCATGGCTTCCTTTCCACTGCAGACAGTCCAGCATTGCCTCAGTACCCTCTGCTGTTGCTTCTAAAAGGGGGAGGGCTCAGAGGAGGTGCAGGGGACACCTGACCCCCTCCCTGCCTTGTAGGAAGCACACTCTTATCCACAGGAAGGTACCTTACCAGCATGATCTTACTTAATCCTTGCCGCAATTCAATGAGAAAGTGACAATTTTTAATCTCCATTTTACAGATAAGTAGACTGAAGTTAGAGTTGCTTGAGGCATATGTTGGTGTTAGAATCAGGATTCAAACTCAGAATGACTCAAACCCCTGTCTGCTACATTGCCTGGGATTCAGGGAGATGCTGGAGTTCACCCCCGACCCTGAAAGGGGAGGGGTCTGGAAAAGGGGTGGTGACCTACCAGGAGGACTTGTATCCTTTTGTTTTCTCTTGATTGGATTTCTTGAATCTCCTCTCTCTCTTTTCTTAGACATGCAAGACACTTCTGTATTTGTTCCTGGGAAACAAGGAGCACAAAATACTAAGACGGAAAAAGGATTTATTAAGGAGTATCATCCCATCCAACCCTCTGCCTCTGGGAAGGAAATGCCCAGGAAAGGAGTCTGTCCCTTACTTGATGGTACCTGAGCCTTTGTCACCTTGACAGTGACTCTCTTTGGGTCTTATTCCTCTTGATTTAGGCTTTCCCCTTTGAATTTTTTCCCCTTCACCGCCCCCCAACACACACTTTGATTTTTGATCAGGGCTTTCCACCTTTATCATGTGCCATTAACGGCTATAGCTTTGTTCCTCCCTGTTTCTTTCATCCTACTTGCTTTTGTATCTGGTAAGGGGTAGGATCTGTCCTGACCATGACGTGCGCCTCATTAAAATTATTCCAACTTTCCAATACGTCCCATAGGGAACATGTATAAGTAGAAACCCTTCCTTTTTATTGTAATCAATTATCTAGGTATGATTCTGGATATGCAAAAACAATTGCTAAGTTGTTTTAAGAAATTATTTCCTCTAGAATAGAATTAGAACAGGTCTACACATACAAGTGTCCTTATATGTATATTCAAAAATGCACACAGAACTCACCATCAAATGCTAATGGACTACTTGAGGCATTCACGCATACAAACTTGTACTAAAATACAGTACATAAACTACAACCAGCACACACATTTAATGACAGATGAAATTGCATACTACATACATTTTCCTAACCTATCTATGTAAACTAATGTATTCATACACAGGAACAAACAGTTACACTTACACACTCAAATACATACTTACAACCCCCCAACACATCACTCACTCTTGTAAACATGCAAACATTAATACATTTACATACTGATTATTCCCTGAAATACAAACGTCAGACACTGACCGATAGGTGGTACAGAAACACACACTCATGTTTTCATCATTCATTCATTCATCAAGTATTACTGAGCTCTTAATATATGTAAGCCACAAGTAAATACAGAACTAACTCTAAATCACAAACGTGTAATTTTCTGTGCCTAGGTCTATTGTCTGGATGATTATATAAGTACAGGGAAAGAATTTCGAGATCAGGGTGGCTGAAAAACTCCACAACTCTGCTCTGCTTCTCTTATTCAAATTCCAGCTCCACTCTGGGATCCCCGTCCCCTCTCCTACCCTGTAGGGACCTGCTGCGTCCTCCAGGAAGCGCACAGTGTGGGCTGCATGCGCCCCGGCCTCGCGGCACACCACGCACAACTGCGCCTCATCATCCTCGCAGAAGAAGTAGACCTTCTCCCCATGCTCTGGACAGTCGTCCTCCTCCGCTGTGCCCAGCGTGGACACCAGCTGGAGGCGCTCAATGTTCTCCACCACGTTGGCCAGCTGCCAGTTAGGCCGGAAGGTCCCTGGGCGGAAAGGTTCTTTGCACAGGGGACAGGTGAGGGACTCCTCAGATTCTGGACCAGGGATCTCACAGAAGCGAGTGAGACAGCCACGGCAGAAGTTGTGCCCACAGTCGATGGTGACCGGCTCCCTCAGGGTGCCTTGGCAAATGGGGCAGTTGACCTCATCTACCAGGCTGGTCACAGAGGCAGCTGAGGCCATGCTGGTACTGCTGGACGTGTGGCCTCCTCGAGGTCACAGTCTCTGCTCTGCTGAGGAGGAAGGACACAGGCACACACCCACATGTGCCCAAGCCCAGCCACAGGCAAAGTCACACACACTCAAAGAACCCACTTGCATCTCTGGCACCAGGGTCCCTTGTCCTCTCTCAGGAACAGACACACCTGCCAACAGCAGAGATAGAGAAATAGCAGAGGAGGGGAGGCAGAAGGTCTCACAGCATTCAGAGACAGCCCCAGGTACTCTTGGGGCCAGTGTAGGTGAACTGGGGTCCACAACCCCTCACAGTAGATGGAGGTGTTGGTACCTCAGCTGCCCACTGTTGAAAGCGATGGTTCTTATTTAGGGGCAGGAGGGAGACTGGCTCACAGACTGGTGATTGCCACAGTCTCTACAATGTATCCAGCTGTTTCCAGGGAGATTGGAGGTATCAGCCAGCCCAGGACTTGTCAGTCAACAGGCAGGGGAGTGTGGGGACTCAGATAAGGCCCTCTTGCTGGGGTGTGCACAGCACAGGCAGCTTCACCAGTGATGCCCCAGCTGGCCTGCCATATAGGCTTCAAAAGAGGATGTGAGGGGGAGGAGAAAAAAATAGTCATGGCTGACAGCATTTCTTTATGATGACTCTACACCTTACACTGATATAAACACTTTGAACATATCATCATATTTATTCCATCTGTCTGCTCTATAATGTCATGCTGTTAGGACCTTCATTTTGCAAATCAGAAGGCTGAGGCTCAGCCAGGTCACCTCAGCTTGCCCAAGGACACAAATAGGAAGATGAGTGACCATGATTTGTAGTTGGAGCCACACATCTTCCGAGCAATGCCATCCAACAGAAACACAATGCAAGCCACATATGCAATTTAAAAATTTCTAGTTGCCATAGAAAGAGTAAAAAGAAGCAGATAAGTGACTTTTAATAATATATCTTATTTGGCCCAAGAGTTCCAAAATATTACATGCTTTCAACATGTAATCAGCATGAAATGTTATTAAGTGAGATATTTTACATTTCTTTTTATTTATGCTAAATCTTTTAAATCCAGCATATATTTTACACATACAGTACAGCTCAGTCTGAACTGACCATGTTTCAGTGCTCAGTAGCAATGTGTGACTGGTGGCTCACTGGACAATGTTGCTCCAGCACTGCGCTCTTGGTTGGGGGTAGGGGGAGAGGGTTGGAAGGGGAGCTGGTGCACAAAGGAGGAACATCGGGGTGCTGGGATGGTCCTTCAGTGGCAGAGTGGAAGGGGGCCTGTTTTTTTCCATGGACATAAACTGCTTGATCTTTGTTTTGGCGTGGGGGAAGCACAATGTTTGGAGCCAAAGATTTGGATTGTCCCCAGCCTGTGATTGTCAAGCTCTGCGATCTTTGGAAAGTCACTTTACCTTTCAGTTTACATCTTCTTTGTAAAATGAAGATAATAATACCTGTTCCAAAGAGTTGTTTTTAAAATTGGTTGTAAGAATATGGGAATAGTAAACCCTAGATAAATGTGGTTGAACCCATTTATCTTTTTGGCTAATTGGGTTTCCTAAAGCTTATCAATGTTTACCTCGTGGTTATTTGCCTTCTCCTACCTGCAACTAAAGAATAAAATTGAAATCCAATGTTATCCAAGCTCCAGCGGGGGTGATGGTACTCAGCAATGAAGGATTTAGAAGTACAGAAAAGACCAGATGACCAGAGGAGGTGAGGTGAAGAGTAGAGAAGCTGCCCTATAGCATTTGAACGAAGTCCTCTCAGAGTGTCACCTCCCACACCAGGCTGGACTTTGAAGTGGCAGGCACACCCCATAGTCAGAGTTTATGGCTCCTACCTGCTCAATGTGACAGGAAGTGACTCCTCCCCAATTCTTCCCACCCTACTGTGTTTGAAGGATTCCAGGAAACCTCATCTCTCAGTGACCTCATTATATACACTCTACTCCCCACCCCAGGGACCAGAAAGGAGCAGAAGGAGTGGAGAAGCAGCTCACCTGGCTGCCACTGAGAAACGTTACATAGTTCAAGATGTCCTGGAGTTTGGACCTACATAGCTGATGGGTGGTGTCCAGCTCTCTGGGGAGCTCAAGAGGCGGGGTCAGGTGACTCCTTGTGCTGACATTCCTGCCTTATGCTCCTTTGCCTCAGTGACGCACTTAAAAGTGACTTAATCTCAGGAAAAGAAATTCTTGTGGACAGAGGCAGAGGCTTTCATGGACAGGCTGGGGAAGGCATCATAATGCCTTCAACTCCATCCCTGAAGGTGGTCCACAAAGGGGCTACCTGTCCTGCCTGCACGGGGCCCCTACAGGATGCGGTGACTACCACCTGTGGACACACCTTCTGCCGGCTCTGCCTCCCCCTGCCCGCCCAGATGGGATCCCAGCCCTCAAGCAAGGTCTTGCTCTGTCCACTCTGCCAGGAGGAGGAGCAGCCAGAGACCATGGTGGCTCCTGTGCCCCTGGGCCCTCTGGGGGAGACCTACTGTGAGGAACACGGAGAGAAGATCTACTTCTTTTGTGAGAATGATGCTGAGTTCTTATGTGTGTTCTGCCGGGAGGGCCCCTCCCACCAGGCCCACACCGTGGGGTTCCTTGATGAGGCCATCCAGCCCTACAGGGTAAGAAGCTAAGGAGTGTGGCTTTACCTGCTTGTTAGGGGCAGGGCAGTGTCCTATTGTGGGTGACAGAAATGGGGTGGGAATCTACTTTCTAAAGCCTTCCCTCAACCCTGCAGGCAGAGGGGTCTTCCTCTGTGTTCCCATCTTACTGTGCACACCTCTACTACAAATTTGTCTATCTGTGCACTAATCACCCTTGACAGACTCCTGTCCTAGATACTGATCTCTTTAGGGACAAGGACTGGGTCTTTGTCACCTTTGCATCCTTAACACTCAGTGCTGTGCCCAGAGCCTGATAGGTAATATTTGTGAATTGAGTAATTAATTGTTTACCTCTCTCTGCCCCTTCTCCTCCCAACAGGATCGTCTCAGGAGTCGGCTGGAAGCTCTGAGTGGGGAGAGGGACAAAATTGAAGACATAAAGTGTCAAGAAGGCCAGAAGCTCCAAGTGCTTCTGGTAAATACAATGCCATAAGCCACCTTTACCTTTAGGGTTTTCTTAACAGACTGGGGGAGCCTGTTGGCTCATATTTGTTGCCTGGCTAGAAAGAACTGACAAACTGGTCATATTTGCCTTCCTGTAGCTGCACAAAGGCATTTGGGAATCTCAGAACATCAGAGCTGGAAGTGGTTCTGGCACATTGTAATCCAAGATACATTTTATTAATCTTTTACAGAGCAGAAAACTGAGGTCCAGAAAAGTGATGTTCCCAAGGCTACATGGTAAAGCCCAAGTTCTTGATGAGATGATTAGAACCTGGGTCTCTTGACCTAAAGGACATTACTCTTCTGGCCTCAGTGTGTCTGCCAGAAAACAACATCTTCAGCTGGGAAATCTGAGGGCACAAGGTATATATTTTGTCTGGATTCTAGTCCCAACCATGAGGCTCACCTTAAGGACAGCAGGCTACTGGTGTGGCTCTATCTGGCTCCTTCTCACTTCTTCTTTCATACTACAAAGTTATCAAAGAGAAAAATCCAGTGTGGGAATTTCTGGTACCTTGACCAAGGATATAGAGTGTCTGGACAGGCAGATCTCACCAGTACTCCTCAGCTCCCATCAAAGCATGCCCTGTAGATGTTCACTTGATGGCTAAAACCAAAGTCACACACTCTCCGGCAACCTGTGGAGACTCTAACTGACTCTAATCACAACGTCCTTTTGCCATAACTGCCCTCTAAGAAACATATAATCATCTACACCTAACTCTAAAGAGATAAGGTAGGGTGTTGTAGATACAGCATAGCTCAGGTCATTGGTAAGTTTATCTCAAGACATATCTACTCTCCTGTAATACTATTTGGAGGAATGAGTTTTGGAACTATGGACTCTCTATTCATCTTACTCAATAAAAAGTGTACAGATGATCCTTCTGGAAGCCAGCTCTGTGAGTCCTTCCCTAACCATATCCATCTTTCTTTCTATCCCTTGCAGACTCAGATTGAAAGCAAGAAACAACAGGTAGAAACAGCTTTTGAGAGGCTGCAGCAGGAGCTGGGGGACCAGAGGTGTTTCCTGCTGGCCAGGCTAAGGGAGCTGGAGCAGCAAATCTGGAAAGAAAGGGATGAGTATGTCACAAAAGTCTCTGAGGAGGTTGCCCGGCTTGGAGCCCAGGTTGAGGAGCTGGAGGAGAAGTGTCAGCAGCCAGCATATGAGCTTCTGCAAGTGAGAGACACTCCACCACCCTGTGGGAGAGCAGAGGGGTTCCCCAGGAAGAGGACACTGTGCTGGGGGTTGGAAGATGCTAGAGAGAGAGAGAGGCAGGAAAGGGAAGTGGAGATTGTCTCCAAAGGGAGCCATGGATGATTGTTTGCTTCCTCTTTCCCACAGAGCCTGGAGACTTGCCCAAAGCATGTGTTGTGGTCATGTTAAGATCACTGGGGTCACACTGCCTTAGGTTTGAATGCTGGCTCTTCCTATTGTGTCACTTGGGCAGGTCTCTTAACTTCTCTTCTCAGGATTTTGTAAACAGTATAAGAATATAATGCTCACCATGGGCCTGGCACACAGGAAGAACTGTAAACTGTTCCTGCTGTGGTTATCACAATCCCTTCTCACATTAGTTCCCATTGGAACCCTGGTCTCTTAATTGTTAGAGGCAAACCTGCTCCCAGTATAAGGCTGAGACAGGGTACCAGCACAAAAGGAACTGACTGGAGAGTCCCACATTAATAAGGAAACATGACATAATAGAACAATTTAGTGAGTGAATAATTGAGTAGATCCAGATCTCTGAGGGTGGAGAGCTTTCAGCTAACATTTTAAGGGAGAAAGGATGTACAGAATTCTTGATGGGAAGGACATGTGGAAACTAAGTGCATGTTCTTGTCTTTCTTTTGTAGGATGTCAGAGTCAACCAAAGCAGGTAGGGCCCACTTCCCAGTCCCTCCTCCTTTGTATGTGTCCATGACATACTCACTGACCACCACCCAGAAAAATACCACTCTGACAGACATGGGCAACTGACTCACACACTCATGAAAGGTCCAAACTCATGAAAGACTTGTGTTCCAAACTGATAGGATGGTATTGAGGACACACAATTTTTTCTCCTTGAAGCAAAATTATAAATAATAATTATGGTTTTAGACTGGTCCAGGAGCATCTTTAATCCACGAAATTGTTAATATTTGAGTCAATACCCAACACCATTTGAAACATAATTTGAAAGGGAAGTATTTTCTGTAATCTATGATAAACACGGATCCTGGGAGGAGGAGGCCACTTGTTCATTCACTTTCCCCATGGCATTTCCCATTTCCTTCAGAGTTTTCTGATGCTACCATAACAGAACAGACACCAGGTGCTGAAAGGCACTGTAAATGTCTGCTCCTTTCCTCTCTTCTCTGCTGTATGCATTTTCAGTCTTCACTGAGATGACAATGACCAGGGAGCACTTGTCATATGCTTTGTGCCCTCCCATGGGGGGCAAGGATAAACCCAGGTGTTCATGAACCAGGAAGTGTCTCTAAACATACTTTTTCAAAGAGTGTCAGAAATCTGGAAAAGTCTTGGAGGTATTTTAGTCTGATGAAGAAGCTGAGGTGGGAGGGGGTGTGATGGTGAAGTGCATATGCAAATTCCTATGGCTAGGAGCTAACGAGGACTGAACTGGGGCCAGAATTGGGGTCTTTTTAACTGCAATGTGTATTTTCTTTCATCTGCTTTTTTTCTTCCTTCCTAGCTCCTTTCCCCTTATGAAAATCCGCACATAAATTTGACTGGTTAAGGCTGTTTTCCAAATGGTACTATACTGCCCTCTAGATGTTAATAGGGGCAATGATCTCTGTTCCTTTTGGCCCCAAACATAGATCTAACTGATGCCAATTGCTGTAGTAACTATACATTTTCAGCAAAGATTTAAAAATGGTGCTTAATTATTTGCCACAGATACAAAGACCATTCTGTACCCGCCAAGTAGGTATCAAACTTTATTTTTTAAATTTGACATAACTGGTTACCCATTTGTCTGTAGGTATGAAGTGAAGACTTTTGTGAGTCCAGAGGCCATTTCTTCTGACCTTATCAAGAAGATCCGTGACATCCACAGGAAAATACTCACCCTCCCAGAAATGATGAGGACATTTTCAGGTAAAGGGGAAGGGAATGCAGCCATCCCAACTCCCATTTGTCCTTCTGCCTTCCACCTATCTTTCTCTACCTTGGAAACCTGGCTCAAACCACTAGGCATGGTGGCTCATGCCTATAATCTGATCACCTAAGAGGTTGAGGAGGAAGAATCGAGTTCTAGGCCAGCCTGGGCTACACAGCAAGGCCCTGTCTTAAAAAAAAACAACAAAACAATAAAAACCTGCTCAAGCACCTTCTCTTCCCAAACTTTCCTATAGAGACTCCACTCTACTTGGAGCCCTTTCCCCATTCTCCTGGAGAATGGGCACTGGACTGAGTCCAGGAAGGTTATGCCCACTTCTTCTGTCCTTCTTCTGTCTCTGACCTCACATTGTAGCCAGGACACCCTGTTCTTTGAGTGCCTGTAAGAAACAGTAAGTCACACATCTTTCTTTCTATTTCCCTCAGAAAACTTGGCACGTCATCTAGAAACAGATTCAGGTAAGCAGCTAGGGGTCTTGGGGGGAGGGTCCAATTCTTTCATTTAACCATTCAATCCTTGGCGGCAAGCAGAGCCATGTAAGGCCTGCATCCTGGAACCTGAGTGCTCAGGTTTTCTGTTTTAGCTCTTACTAGCTATGAGACACTGAGCAAGTTATTAAACTTTTTCTTCCTGCTGTTTATTCATCTATAAAATGGAAAGACTAATAGTACCTACTCTATAAATAGCTGTGAGGATTAAATAAATTCATCCAAAGAGCTTAGTGTAGCACCTGGCAGATAGCAAGTGTTCTACTAATGCCAGTTGCTTGTATAGATATTATTCATTCAAAAATATTAATCAAGCCCTTGGTTTTTTTGGCCTGGAATTGTGCTAGATTCTCTGTAGGTTTGAACAAATAATGTATCATTTTCAAAAAATAGCATTTACTTTTAAATTGGCGCTTAATTTGGAAATTGTTTTCCCAAGCATCACCTCATTCTGACATTGACCAGTGCTTCTTAAACTTAATGTGCAGAAAAATCACCAGGTGGTCTTGTTTCAGTATGATCTCGGTCTGGTTTAGCTGGTCTGTGATGGGGCCCAAGATTTTGTGTTTCTAACAAATTCCCAGGGGCTGATGCTGGTCCAACTGCCGCCCTTTGAGAAGCAAATCTTACAGCACCGCTTGCCGGTCAGGGAAAGGAGCTGTAATCGTCTGTCCGCGTGGAACTGAAGGGGAAACTGAGGTTCAGAGAATCAGGCCGCACAAGCCCGCGTTCTTCCTGCCTCCTGCACACACCGTTTGTTACCTACTCTGGGGACCTTTCTGCTTGCCACCAGCTCTGTTGATGTCCCCGCTCTCCTTCCTCTAGGGGCCATCACTCTGGATCCTCAGACCGCCAGCCGCAGCCTGGTCCTCTCGGAGGACAGAAAGTCGGTGAGGTACACGCGGCAGAAGCAGGACCTGCCCGACAGCCCCCTGCGCTTCAACGGTCTCCCGGCGGTGCTGGGCTCCCCGGGCTTCTCCTCCGGGTGTCACCGCTGGCAGGTGGAGGTGCAGCTGGGAGACGGCGGTGGCTGCACTTTGGGGGTGGCCGCGGAGGACGTGAGAAGGAAGGGGGAGATGGGCCTGAGTGCCAAGGAGGGCGTCTGGGCTGTGATCATCTCGCACCAGCAGTGCTGGGCCAGCACGGCCCAGGGCACCGACCTGCCGCTGAGCGACATCCCACGCTGTGTGGACATCACCCTGGACTATGAGGCCGGACGCCTGACCCTCCTCGACACTGACACCCAAGTGCCCATCTTCACCTTCACCACCTCTTTCTGCAGCAGGGTCTTCCCTTTCTTTGCCGTCTGGAAAAAAGGCTCCTGCCTTACTTTGAAAACCTGATGTTGGGCGCGCTAAGTGTGGTGTAGCCCAGACAGCCGCGCCCTAGAACCCAACTCTGTCTCCACGCAGGGCCAGTAGATATGAGGTCTTGGAGGCTTGGATAGTGGTTGCTTCTACTTTATCGTATGTCCTTCGGCTCGCTGACGTCCTGGTCCTCACCATGGCGCTCCTCTGAGTGGGGAACCAGAGGCAGGTCAGGCTGTGTCCAAGACACCAGTGAAGTTGGCGGCTGGTGATATTTAGGGGAGGAGGAGGACTAAAATACAATTTTTAGAAGCTTCAACATATTATCATGGGGGAAAACAGAACTTTGTTGGGTTTGCATTAATTTATGCAGTTGACTTTTTATTTTGACATACACTTGGAGATGCCTTCACCTATGTAGGACTTTGGATCTCTTCATCATCTCTGGGTGGACCCCAAGGCCCCTTCTTTTCTGACTCCCTTCTGGTCAGTCCTCTAGACTTGAGGAAATGTCTTAATAAAGGTATGATCCACAAACTATTGCATTCCATGTGTCCAATCTGTCTGTTGTGACAACATGGGGCCTTGGTGGGTGAGATTCTATAATTTGGATGTTGAATGTCACCTAAAGACTCATGTGTATAAAGGCTTGATCCCTATGGTGGAGCTACTGGGAGATGAAGGAATCTTTAGGAAGTGGGGGTCTAGTGGGATGTTCTTAGGTCACTGGGAGTGCTCTGGCAAGGGACTGTGGGACCCTGGTCTCTTCTGTTTCCTGGCTGATGAGGTGAGTGCTTTTGCTCCACCAAGCACTCCTACCGTGATGTGTTGCCTTGCAAAAGGCCAAAGGCAATGGGTCATTGAATCTTGGACTGAACCTTCAGAACTATAAGCCAAAAGAAACCTTTTCTTTTTCAAAGTTGATTGTCTCAGATATTTCATTACAGTGACAGAAAGCTGACTAATACAGGGAACTCTGGAAAGCTCCATTATGACCTTACAGGGCAGAAAGAAGGAAAAGCAAGGGGACCTAAAATGAGGACATTAGGAGGATTAGTAGGAACTGCAAGCCCCCATGATTAAAGGGCACAACTGATCAGAATGTTGAAGGCACAGCCAACTGAAATGTTGCTTTCTGCACATCTAATTAGCATAGAGATTGAGCAACTGCTCTGCAGTAAAACTCTAGACCATGTCAACTCACAAGCAACCCATTTGAGACCCCTCGCTGTCTCACGTGGGCTTTCTTGCCTACATGCTCGCCCTCCATTGTCTGTGAACTGCATTCTTTGTGTTCATGAGACAAGGAATTCTGTGTGAATTGGGAATCCTCTGCCACTAAGCTAAAAAGAGCTGTGACCTAGCTAGCGCAGCAGATCCCGATCTCACAAGAAGATTCCAGTATCAGAAGGGGAGGTATAGAGGAGATGGGTCCTGATCCCTCTGTGACCAAGACCTAATCCTGTCCCTTCTTTTGCTTAGGATTTCCCTATTAACCCTGAAACAATCACAAGACTCCACTGTTTAATAAAGTGAGAATTTTGTTTAAGTCTAACTAACCTCCCAAATGTTTATTACCATTACTGTTATTATTATTTGGACATAGAAACAGATCACCCATAAAAATAACTTTGCAAAGCAAGGTGGTGCAAGTAATGGCGATAGGTTTTGCCCCTTTTCTCCCCACCACACTTGCCACCATACCACCCTTTCTGGTTCTACTGTTCTTCCTCTCCAGTCCAGCACTCACAACACCACTCTCCCATCCCTAAGTAGGACAGTCTCAGGAGATCTTGAGACAGCTTGTCATGTAAAACTGTCCTCTGTCTTCCCTACAGGATTCTCAGCATAATCTATGTTGCCTCCAAAGCCTTTGCAAGAGCTGCTGATTTCTGGGGAAGATGAGAGCTCTGAGTTCTGGAGGGGTGGGGAGGCAAAAAGAGACCCCACAAATTGCCAGGATTATGTATGGAGCAAGTAGACACATAAGGTGCCTCAGAACCAGAAGGGTTAATGTTAGCATCCAGGTGGGGTCTGGAAGGGAATCTGTACAGAGCCCAAAGACAGCCATTGCCATAGCTGGAGGAGGTTCTAGGAACCAGAGCTGTGGCAGATGTGTCTTCTCTCTGCTCCACTTGCTTCTCTCGGCATGTGAGACCCTCTCGGTCGAGGAGAAGTCTTGCTAGCTTTTCTCATGTCCTTTATTTTCCCCTCTCATTTTAAGTTCTTTTCTCTTCTTGGACTTCCATTATACAGAGTTGACTCAGTCATACTCAATTCTTGGTAAACAGTCATTATCGGTCCATGCAAGGTTTTGCTTTATTTATATTTTCTCCTTTACCTCCAATTCTTATTCCTATTCTCTTCACCTCTACAGGCTCTTCTCTCTAATATCTTTCATAGGTCCTTGGTTACATAGGAATCCTTGAATATATAATAGTTTTAGTTGTGTTTCTTACACTTAAAAAAACAATTCAGTACCATGGTTTTAAGATCTAGTCATGGGGATTTCCAAGATGGCGGCTAGAGGGAGGAAGCAGAAAGCGTGCTTCCTAAAGTAAAATCTTGGAGAGACGCTGGAGATACACAATACAGGAAAAACCACCCAGAAGAGGCAAAATTTTGACTCCTCCACACCTCCAGCCCACACATAGCATCCGCACTTCACATTAAATGGAGAAAACAGGAGGGCTCCCGCGCCACCACCAGACGCCAGTGCCTAGACAGCTTGGGAAGATGCAGACCACAAGGTGAGCTAAGTGGTACATGGTACTCCCACAGACAATCCTGGGCCAGATCAGTATAGTGCTCTGGACAGACTGACCCCTACACAGGGAAAAAAAAGAGAAACTGAATAATAAGCAATAACAACAAAAAAGACACATAGCAAAGAGGGTGGGGCGCCCTGAGCACCGAAGGGGGGGAGGGGAAATCCCTTCTTCCTGCTGGAGAAGACAGGAGCAGCAGCACATGCCCAGCAACCAAGAGCAGGAAAGCTTGTAAAAGCAGAGTTGGGAGGAAAACTCCACAGGAGAGGGGGGAAGGCCCACTTCCCATGTGAACTGTAAATAAACACGTTGGCCTGAGAAAGCTGGTGCAGTGTCACCTCTCCCAGTGTGCTTGGAAAGGGGAAGGCTTGTAGCAGTGGCATCACGCCCAGGAGAACTCTGAGTAAACAAAGCCTGTGGGGCCAGGTGAGTGTTAAGCTCACTCCTGAGATCTGCATAAATAAAGCCCCCAGTAACAGCAGGCTGACAGCAGTGGGCAGGTGAGCCTCAGCCTCAGATGAGAGAGTCTGTCTCCAGACTCTTTTTTTTCCTCTCTCCCTTTGATGAGACAATAACCGATCTACACCCGCATGCTGAAAAACTTACTGAAACTGTATTGCATTTGAACTTGGGACACTTTGTGGGTTTTTTTTTCTTTTGTGCTGTTTTGCTTTGTTTTTATTAGTTTTGCTTCCCCTTTCATGAGAAAATGATAGAACTACTTCTGCAACACCATCTCCAGGACTGGAGCTGAGGGACAAACAAAAAATTATTAAGACTGAAATTTTATTGCATTTGAACTTGGAGATTTTTATTTTTTTTTCATTTATTTACTTTTTATTTTTATTTTCTTTTTATATTTTTCTTTTTCCTTGTTTATTTTCAATCCTCTTTCTGTCTATCTAATGCCTGTTCAGCTTACTGTTGATTAGTACACTATCCCTGTTTATATCTTTGAAACCTTTTTTGTTTGTTTTGTTTTTTTCTACTTATTTATTTGTTTTTCCCTTTTTCTTTAACTTCTTTGCTTTCCATCTCCTCTCACTCATCCATTCTAAGTATCACCATTGTTATTATTACAAGCTAGAAAATACTTAATTGCACACAGTACAGGGACAATAACAACACCAGGAGCAATGACAGGAAGACAGAAAAAACAGGGAAACCAGTTTTCCCACAGCAAAAAATTAGTACAGGACCCAGAGGGGAATGAAGAAAACGGATACTCAGATTCAGACTCCAACAAAATGAAGATAAACTATGCCAAAGAACCCAATGAAGCCCACAAGAATAATCTAAAAGAAGAAATGCTACAGGTAATCAATGAGAATTTTATAGAGATGATACTGGATATGGTCAACCAAAATGTACAGGAGATACTCAAGAAATTCCAAGACAACAAAAATAGAGAATTTGAGAACGCACAAGAAGAAACAAAAGAAACCATAGAAGCACTGTATAAACACCAAAGTGAAACAAAGAACATGATTAATAAAGAGATAAATGAACTCAGGACAAAAATAGACAACATTAAAGAGGAAGGGACTCAGGATATGGAAAACCTCAGAAAAAAGAACAAAACAGAACTGCAAAACAAAATGGAAGGCCAATCCAGCAGAATAGAACAAACAGAAGACAGAATCTCAGAACTCAAAGATGAAATGGTAACTAAAGGAAAAAACCAAAGAACTATTAGTTAAACAACTCAAGACCTATGAAAAGAAAATGCAAGAACTCACCGACTCCATCAAAAGACCAAACTTGAGAATCATGGGCATTGAAGAAGGAGGAGAGGTGTGAGCAAAGGGAATGCATAATATATTCAACAAAATAATAACAGAAAATTTCCCAAATCTAGAGAAATCTATTCCCATACAGATGCAAGAGGCCTCCAGAACACCAAACAGACCAGATCAAAATAGAACTACCCCACGACATATCATCATTAAAACAACAAGTACAGAAACTAGGGAAAGAATATTGAAGGCTGTAAGAGAGAAAAAACAAATAACATACAAAGGTAAACCCATCAAAATCACAGCAGACTTCTCAACAGAAACATTAAAAGCAAGAAGAGCTTGGAGTGAGATCTTCTGGGCACTGAATGAAAATAACTTCAACCCTAGGATACTCTACCCAGCAAAACTATCATTCAAAATAGATGGAGCAATAAAAGTCTTCCATGATAAGCAGAAACTAAAACAATATGTGACCACAAAGCCACCACTACAAAAGATTCTTCAAGGGATTCTGCACACAGAAAGTGAAACCCAACATAACCATGAAAGGCAGGCAGCACCAAACTACACAAAAAGAAAAAGCAA